TGGTATAAACGGGCGACCACTGTGGTATAAACGGGCGGCCACTGTGGTATAAACGGGCGGCCATCGTGGTATAAACGGGCGACCACTGTGGTATAAACGGGCGGCCATCGTGGTATAAACGGGCGACCACTGTGGTATAAACGGGCGGCCATCGTAGTATAAACGGGCGGCCATCGTGGTATAAACGGGCGACCACTGTGGTATAAACGGGCGGCCATCGTAGTATAAACGGGCGACCACTGTGGTATAAACGGGCGGCCATCGTAGTATAAACGGGCGACCACTGTGGTATAAACGGGCGGCCATCGTAGTATAAACGGGCGACCACTGTGGTATAAACGGGCGGCCATCGTGGTATAAACGGGCGACCACTTGTGGTATAAACGGGCGGCCATCGTAGTATAAACGGGCGACCACTGTGGTATAAACGGGCGGCCATCGTAGTATAAACGGGCGACCACTGTGGTATAAACGGGCGACCACTGTGGTATAAACGGGCGGCCACTGTGGTATAAACGGGCGGCCATCGTGGTATAAACGGGCGACCACTGTGGTATAAACGGGCGACCACTGTGGTATAAACGGGCGACCACTGTGGTATAAACGGGCGGCCATCGTGGTATAAACGGGCGACCACTGTGGTATAAACGGGCGGCCATCGTAGTATAAACGGGCGACCACTGTGGTATAAACGGGCGGCCATCGTAGTATAAACGGGCGACCACTGTGGTATAAACGGGCGGCCATCGTAGTATAAACGGGCGACCACTGTGGTATAAACGGGCGGCCATCGTAGTATAAACGGGCGACCACTGTGGTATAAACGGGCGGCCATCGTAGTATAAACGGGCGGCCATCGGAGATAAGAAGTGGCCTCCCGAGATTGCGTAACCGTCATCAAAACGTGTTTAATATTGGGTTAAGTATTAGGCCATTAGGAGTCACCGATGGCCAAGTTTGGCTATAAGGCCAGTTACCTTAAAATGAGGTGTGAAGGCCACGTCAAGTAAACATGGGAATAGTCTACTGTAGTGGTTTCAAAATTTAAAGGTGCTGACTAGTGTTAGTTGAGGTACGGAATAGTGTTAGGGGAGATAAGGTATAGTGATAGGGGAGGTTCAGGTCATTGTTATGGGCGGAGGGGGGATTAGGTCTAGTGATAGGGGAGGTTAGGTCTAGTTTTAGGGGAGGTTCGGGTCATTGTTAAGAGGGGGGAGGTAGGTCTAGTGTTAGGGGAGGTTAGGTCTTGTGCGAAATCATAACATGTGGGAACGTAACTAACATAAATCTGACAAAAAAGGCTACTACTAAATGACTTACAAAAAATAAAACTCTCAAATATTTAGCTAACAACATATTAGCAGCCGACGATGCACCTCATAAATTTCTAACAGGTGCATACAGGTGCAACATGGGCTAAGTACTGGCGGGGTCTTTTTTTATTTATGAGACCGATTATGTTGGGAGACATATAAAGGGGCGCAATTTTTTTCAGGAATGGGAGAGTGGGAGGGGGAGGTTTATTTCTAGTTCTGCCACTGCACGGAGATAATGATTTATTGTGACTTTGGTCTACAGGGTGTCTAGTCTAAGTAAAAGTTGAAGCATTGGTATCGTTGTAATCTAGTATAGAAAGGAGGGAGGAAGAGTGGGGGAGGGTAGGGGGAGTGAGAGAGGAGGATGGAGAATGGAGAGGGGAGGGAGAGGGGAGGGGGGAGGGATGGAGCAGAGAGGAGAGAGTGGGGAGAGAGGGAGAAGAGAGGGGAGAAAAGAAAGGATAGAGGAAAGATAGCTAGAAAGCCTAAATACGGCCAATCCGTATTTGTCATCAAACATCTGGAGGCACTACTTTGAAAGAGCTACTTTTGAGTGGGAAAATCTCGCGCGCTTTTCATATCCTGATTGAGCCATGAGTGAGCCACATAAGCCGGGGCCGATTGTTTGCCGTTGGTCAACTCCCTCCCCAGAGCCGCTAGTTGGGATCATTCTCCTGACAGTCGGCTCAAAGGAAGCGGTTAAATAAAAATTATTCCAGTTCTTTCGTCTCGGAGACGAGTAAAAATTTGCAGAGTCCCCTCGACAACATCTGTGTTTGATTATCTCCGGAAGTTACGCACTAGAAGGCGTAGTGCCGCTGGTCGTCTCGCTAGGGAATTTTTTTCGTTTGTTTGTCTCGCAAAATGCTAAATTTAGACTACACTATTTATCTGTTCCGGTTAAGTAGTAAGTTAGTAATTAACGTTACATGCTTAAACATCAGTATTTCTCTTCAGTGCTTGGAGTTACAACCGTTTCGGCTGGATAGTACATATTTTGCAAATACTACGGTCTATATAAAACAAATGCTTAATGAATTCAAAGAAATGCGAAACTAGTTATGTTCCGAATTTGCATGAAACTGGTTGACATAGTTGTGACCATATAACTAAAAAAGAATGCTACTTCAACTATTTAATCCGAATCAAAGCCAGCAAGCAACGAAGTCGTGACTCGTCTTGCGTGCAGAGTGTGAAGTGAGCTCGTTATACGAATGTTAAGCGGAATGTTAAGCGGTATTTAATGCATCCAATGATGTGATCGTTTTATGTGGGACAAGGTCAAAGGGCAGTCTAGGGTTAAAGGTTCGTACTGGAAAATGTTTGTTTTTAAAAAAAAAAACGTGAAATAATTTTACTTTTTTTGACAATATAATGATCTATTTTGTAAATGATTTACACAACATCTTGCTTACTCTCTCCTTCCCTCCCCTCCCTCTCTCTCCTCCCTCTCTCTCCCTCCTCTCTCTCTCTCTCTCTCTCTCTCCCCTCTCTCTCTCTCTCCCCTCTCTCTCTCTCCCTCCCCTCTCTCTCTCCCTCCCCTCTCTCTCTCCCCCCCTCTCTCTCTCCCTCCCCTCTCTCTCTCTCCCTCCCTCCCCTCTCTCTCTCCCTCCCCTCTCTCTCTCCCTCCCCTCTCTCTCTCCCTCCCCTCTCTCTCTCCCTCCCCTCTCTCTCTCCCTCCCCTCTCTCTCTCCCCCCCTCTCTCTCTCTCCCTCCCCTCTCTCTCTCCCCCCTCTCTCTCTCCCTCCCCTCTCTCTCTCCCTCCCTCCCCTCTCGCTCTCCCTCCCCTCTCTCTCTCCCTCCCTCCCCTCTCTCTCTCCCTCCCCTCTCTCTCTCTCTCTCTCCCTCCCCTCTCTCTCCCTCCCCTCTCTCTCCCTCCCCTCTCTCTCTCCCTCCCCTCTCTCTCTCCCTCCTCTCTCTCTCTCCCTCCCCTCTCTCTCTCCCTCCCTCCCCTCTCTCTCTCCCTCCCTCCCCTCTCTCTCCCTTCCTCACTACCTCTCTTTCTCATTGAATACCGGCTTAAGCTAAGATCATGAACAAAGCCAACTGGAATATTGTGAAGCATCAAGCATTTTACTCACTCGTGTTAAATGGCTTTCTAGTACAACTCTTTTAACATTAAAATGAGAAATATTTTTTTCTCGTGTTAAATGGCTTTCTAGTACAACTCTTTTAACATTAAAATGAGGAAAAAAAAATTTAACAATGAGTATCACATTCATTATCTTAAATCGACAATTAAATACTTGCTTTAGAGCTTGATCTGTTACTCTAAACGACAATATTTTTGCCTTGTCATACAATACGAATTTATCTGGAAATTTATAGCAAAATTGCTGCATATAAAGTGGTCCCAAAATAAGTTATAAGATTGGTCACAGCGAACAAGCATTGTGACCTAAGTTAAAGCATAAAAGTATTAACATGATTTTTAAATTGTCTTAGTTACTTCCCATTTAAAAATTAAATATTAGTAAGGGAAACTAAACTATAACTTTCTTAAAAGTCTTTAACAGAGTGATTTTTAGAAGCAATACAGTTACAATTAATAAATATTGAACAGTATTAAGTTGAATATTAAAAACCTTGCAAGGAAAGTGTCTTACTTTATTGGGATAGATTTTAGAGGTGTTTTTTTTTACTCTAATTTAAATATAAAAGCAATAGTGGTGTTTATTTCTGAATCTCTAAATAAGTGAATCATTGTAAATACAGGCAATCCCTTCTATTCGCACTGTGATTCAAAAATTCATGCAATAATAGTTCTTTTTTTAAATACTATATTTTTCAAAATCTTTTTCACAAAATGTCAAGCGATAAAATTATAGTTACATTTTAAAAACTTAAAGCTGTTTGGGAACCATCGGTTACACTCATTTTCATATTTTTGTATGGAATATAATCCATTTAAAAGCCGTTTAGAATTATTTTATCAATTCAAATATTTAAAAAAAAAAAAAAAAAAAACGTCCTCAACCTCTCCTTGAAGTCAACCGGAATGGCCAGGAAGAGTAAAACAATGAAAGTCAAAACAATTGTTTTCCATATTAAAATACACAATAGTGATATGTGATGTATAGCCTAGTATTGTATTTATATTAAATAATATACCATTCCCTATCACCACAACACCCTGACTCTACTAATCCAAATTAAAAATCAAAGTGTTTGCTAAATTACTATTATATTACTAGTATTTATTTGTTTGACTATTTCTAGCCTTAATGAAACCGGGAGTGGTTTTGTACTTATTACACAAATATTCAATTTTTGTTGAAAAAATATACTTTCTGGCAACAAAAATTTGGAACCATTTGGAACCAGCTTTTCCTACCTATTTTTTAGACAATTATAACTTTCAAAGATTGAACCCCAAAAATAAGACGTTATGTGTTAATCATGAATTAACGGTTGCCAATGAATAAAAGTTCACGTCAGATAGATATATTGCTATAGCAAATCTGTATCAAATCTCACGAACCGATGATGAATTTAAAACTGAAACTTATGGAAACAAGATACACTGACGCTGTATGGCTATGTACATTAAATTTATGAGGCAAATTTAAAAAAAATACTAACTCTAACAAGTATGGAAAAAGCTTTAAAATTGGCATCATACACTTCAAAAGAAACATTTATAAAATCAGGTTTTTATTAGTGAGCAGGAAAATCCAGACTTACCTGGAGTGCTCGCCATGTGTTTGTGTTTCTTTGAACACAGTAAGCTGGACATGATTGACTCGTGAAAGGTCAAGGCCAAGCGTTCGAAGAAGGATCACCGACACCACGTGATTAGATCATAGTCAATGACGGATCGCCTCTAACACTAGTCGATTGCTCATACAAGCACAAATCAATAGTTAGCCGTCAACACACTACTGAACTAAGAATCACTTTTTTTCTGTTTGGTAAAAGGATTCTAATCAACTGTCTCGTACAATTAAGCCGTTTGATAACTAGCTTTTAAACACCAGAGAGAAAAAAAGTTCGGTATTATCATTATTATCAATCTTCATTTAAATTCTGACGACTTTTTCAGACCAGTGCTGACACAAAAAATTACATAAACAAAAACCCGTATCTCGCGATAATCAACATCCTATCAATATCCGATGTAGACACAGATAATCACATATATTTTTTTCCGAATCTCGCTATGATCACTGACCTACCAATATCAGCCGATGTAGACACCCGATAATCACATAAACTTCCCTATCTCGATATAATCACCATCCTACCATTATCAGCGGACCCGTATAGACACATATCATCATATGAAAACTTCCGTATCTCGCTATAATCACCATCCTACCAATATCATCGGACCGATGTAGACACCAGATAATCTCATAAACTTCCGTATCTTGCTATAATCACTATCCTATAAATATCATCAGCCGATGTAGATACCAGATAATCTCATAAATTTTCGTATCTCGCTATAATCACCATCCTACCAATATTATCGTACCTATGTAGACACCAGATAATCACATACATTTCCGCATCTTGTTATAATCACCATCAGCCCGGTGTAAACATAGATAATCACATGAAAAAAACTTCCTTATCTCGCTATAATCACTAACTTTCCTCGTCAGAGGGGTGTAGACACAGATCCTCACATGAAAAACTTCCATATCTCGCTATGATCAACCTACCTCAATCCGGTGTAAACACAGTTAAGTACTTGTAAGAAAAACCAGCCAAAAGCAATAGGATACCGTCGTTAACACTAGGAGATGCTCCTATTAATTCGGATAGAGCTTATCTCTACAGATAGTGCTTATCTCTACAGATAATGCTTATCTCTACAGATAGTGCTTATCTCTACAGATAGCCCTTAGTGCTACAGATATCCCTTAGTGCTACAGATAGTTCTTAGCACAACAGATAGTGCTTAGCGCTATAGGTAGTGCTTAGCGCTACTTTTAACAAATGGCAATTCCCCTAAGCTGATGACCTACAGAGGTGCAAGTAACTCTACAATACATAAACGGTTCTAAAACAGCAGTTCGGGGTACCTCGATGTACATTAAAATGTTGTCATTGATTTCTGTGGAATATATCCAGAGTTGCTTCCAGGCATCTCTTCGGTGGGGCGAAGCCCCCCCGAAAAATTTTTACCGCCCCCCCGAACGAAATGAAATTTATATCATTTATATAGAAAATATATACTTTTAACAGTGTCCGCCCCCCCCCCCCCCCCCCCGAAGAAAGTTTACCGCCCCCCCCCCCCCCCCGAAGATTTCAAGTGCCCCCCCGGAGAAAAAAGTCTGGAAGAAACACTGAATATATCTCCCCTGGAGGGCTGCTACAAAATGAACTTTTTTTTCTGCTACAGTTACACACAAAACAAGTTCATGAACCAAATGTTCATGGTACTCTCGTTATTTTTAGAATATTTATAGTAATTTTTTTGTATGTAAAATATAGCAGTAAATATAGAATGAAATTTCATGTTGACTAACAAAGAGAAATGACAGACTTAATTGTTAACTAAAAGAGAAATAACAGACTTAATTGTGAACTAACAAAGATAAATGACAGACTGAATTGTGAACTAACAAAGAGAAATGACAGACTAAATTGTGAACTAACAAAGAGAAATGACAAGCTAACAAGTCAACATAAACAGCGTGTTCAATTTATGAATGTTTAATTAATAGCTTTTGATGTAACCCTTTGTTTCTATTATTTATATCGTGTTTCCATATAGGGGCCTACTCGACTTCAGAAAATACAACATAAGGCTGGCGTTGTCTTTTCAAAGGTTATGTTTTTGTTTCTTTACACAGTAGCACAGCGCAGTGACAGTTATATAAACCGGCAAAATGTTATGTGTGCAGTGGCAGAGGTGGACTGGCCCGCCGGTCTACCGGTGAAAATCCTGGTGGGCCCACGGGAATGGTGGTATACTAAGAATATTAGTGCTTTCACTTTTTTTTTTTAAAAGTTATTTTGGCGAGTGAATTTCCATCAGGCTGGGGATTATCAACAAGCTTCGATGGTAAAAAAAAATTGCTCATAGAACATTTTAATCTGGGATGGGGGGGGGGGGGGGCTTTTTATAATTTCCCGGGGCCTCAATGACACATCCAGTACACCCTTGCTACAGGAGGCACCAATAATAACACCGGTTTTACTGAAACCTAACAATTCAGCTGTTAAACTCACTTCCTCTTTAACGCGATGTTGGCCTTGAATCTTCAAACATAAACAACGTCCCAACAAGGAAATGTGATGAGTGAGTGTGTTCAGCTGATTGTGAGTTGAGACGTTATTAAAGCAAGTTGTAACGGAAATTCCCTGTCCCTATTTTTATTCAACATCTTTTGTGTACGTCAATCTTAACGCTGGTCTATTTATAGAACATTGTATCTTACTTCCGGGCAGTGGTTTACGTCTAGTGAATCTAGTCTGTGAGCTAAACTCTATGTCTACTTGATGGGATGATTAACTGTTTAGCTTAAACTCTTCGTCAAAAAGCTTTTCATTATTTAATATTAATATTATTTTAAAATTTTCGAATTAAATTGTTTTTTTTAAAGACGATTAAAAAAAAAACTTTTTGAATATCTCTTTGAAACTTTAAATAATATGTTTGTTACATTTTGTGTTATATTGTATGCAATTTAAAAAAAAAATTCACTAAGTTTAGATAATTGAGAAAATGTATCACCATAATTTTCCAGGAAGCAAAACGGTTGTGCTCAACTTTAAACCCAGTAGGAGTTATGAATTAAATTGTACAATGAAGTTAAGATATGCTTTACACTACACACGAATGTAAGCTACTTTAGAGATTAATTTATCTTTGATATTAAAAGCAACACATTGAACTATAACTAGAAAGATTATTTGGAGATATTACTCGTCTTTTCGACAATCGTACGTAACTTCTTAATCTTAATAAATTACGTGTTTTAATTGGCAGAGGAAAAAATGTCATAAAATGGCTCTACTTTTAAAATTATTTAATTAGTAAAACATAATCAATGCTTTAAGCCAAATAAATTAGTCTAAAACCACAAAAACCGAAGAAGTCCATATAAGGCAACAAAAATCAAAACAAAAAACAACGTGTCACTCCGATTTGGCACAAACCCGGAAGTAAGATATAAGCTGGTTATTTTCTTGATAGACTTAGCCTAAATAAGGTTAACCAGTTTTGGTAATCAGCGTTATAATATTACATTAGCTCTTTACTTTTAGAAGTTTACTTATGTGCTCCGATTTCTCAACAAGATATCTGAAAATTTGATTGGGTTTGACGTCACCAAATTAGAATAATCTCCGTCACGTCTGTCTGATTGTTGTGATAAAATCACCAAAGACACGAATACATATCCAAAATCTGAAACAAGGCGCTATTGTCCCCGTTTGGCTTCCTGGTGTTGTGTGTAAAAGTCCAGAGACATTAGTTCGTATATCCTGATTCTAAAACTAGACATTCCCATGACAGTGGTTTTGGTCAGATTTTTAAAAAAACAATTCACTATTTATCCATTGGACATTCTGGCAACAACAAGAAAACAGAATCCTGGCCACGGCAACAGCTGAATCAATTTGACTGGCTTATTCCAGAGCCCTGACGTCCATTGTCGTCGTCATTATCTTCGACTTTAGAAAACGCACGCCTTTACCCCGCCATCAAATTGTCTTCCTGATTAATTTCTTTTAAAGAAAAACATGACAGCATCTTAGCCGAGCCTAATAATATCATCCAAGTTCATGAAATGACGTGTTTTTCCTCTAGATTTTGCTCCCTTTAAATATTAAAAACAAATCCGTATAAAAACATAAGTTGAAATTCCCTACTAAGATTCCATTTGCTCAAAACGTTGTGTCATTATCGAAAACTTTATTTTAGACACTTAAATGTAGACCAAGCTTTACTGAAAAGTCTTAGTACAAAAAATTGTTTCATTTTACTAAACATTAGATCTACGAGATATTTTCCAATGGCCAAAAATATATTTTTTTAGTAAACTCAAAGACAAAATGCATTTTGATAATAAAGTATAAGATCAAAATATTTTCCGTGTAACAAAAACTAAGGGAAATATTTTCCAATTAGCAAAACCTGACCACATAATGTTTTCCGTTATATCAAAATAAAACTACAAAATATTTTCTTCTTAACAAAACTTGAGGACAAAATATTTTCTACTCAACAAAATCGAAGGAAAAACAAGATTTCGCGTTGGACGAAATGTTAGGACAAAATATTTTCCATTTAACAAAACAAAAAGACCTAATAATTTTCCTGAAACAACAAAGGCTAAGGACAAAACATTTTCATTTAACAAAACCAAAAGGCTAAATATGTTCATGTAACAAAATAGTTTTGATGGAACAAAAGTTAAGACAAAATATTTTCCATTTAACAAAACCCAGGGGGCTAAATGTTTTCCATGTAACATGAGCTAAGGACAAAACAATTTCCCTGAAACAAAAGCTAAAGACAAAATATTTTCCATTGGCGGATTTTGCTCAGGAGCTCAGGTTAGCGATAATCTCATTCTCAGCCGTCAGAAATAGATAGGATCCTGGCACGCTCTCCGACTCAACCCCTCCCCGGCACACAACCCCTCCCCACCATCCACTCCCTCCCCACCAGGCTCCATCCTGTTATTGAATTTGACAGGGAGAAGACGAATTTTAAATATTAATGAGACAACAGCTGGTATGGCTGATCTCCTAGTTCCTGATTCTTCCAGGCTAGTCTCAAAGATTTCTTGGGTGGATATTTCGTGTTTTGTCACTAGCTTATCTAATACATCCTGATACTAAAGTCTAGTCTCAAAGCCTTCTTGGGTGGATATTTCGTGTTTTCTCACTAGCTTATCTAACAGACACCCTGATACTAAAGTCTAGTCTCAAAGCCTTCTTGGTTGGATATTTGTGTTTTGTCACTAGCTTATCTAATACATCCTGAAACTAAAGTCTAGTCTCAAAGATTTCTGGGTGGATATTTTTTGTTGTGTCAGTATATCGCGTTTAACACATAACGCAGCATATGACAGATAATTTCGACATACGGACATACACTATACCTAGTCATGTTTTAGATGACATAGATCAAAGTGTAATATATCTGACATACTAGCAAACAGGTGCTGTAATTTACAAGTATAGCCTTAAAGTTTTTACAGTTATTCACTGCTAAAATAGCAATGTTAATGATTGATATGTTATATATATTCGATCCCTTATGTAATGTCATTCATGTGCACTTAATTTCATTACGATATATATTTTTTCGCTGATGATATTATCCTCTATGTATAATAAATCATTAATGTGTGCCTACATCACTTAATTCTGTTAGCTTGTTTGTGTCGGCTACATTACTTCACTGACTCAAGCCTGTATGTTTATATCACATTGCTATTGTAGGCCTGTATAATATGTATATCACTTTACTACTGTAACCTGTATAATATGTATATCACTTTACTACTGTAGGCCTGTATAATATGTATATCACTTTACTACTGTAGGCCTGTATAATATGTATATCACTTTACTACTGTAACCTGTATAATATGTATATCACTTTACTACTGTAGGCCTGTATAATATGTATATCACTTTACTACTGTAGGCCTGTATAATATGTATATCACTTTACTACTGTAGGCCTGTATAATATGTATATCACTTTACTACTGTAGGCCTGTATAATATGTATATCACGTTACTACTGTAGGCCTGTATAATATGTATATCACTTTACTACTGTAGGCCTGTATAATATGTATATCACTTTACTACTGCAGGCCTGTATAATATGTATATCACTTTACTACTGTAGGCCTGTATAATATGTATATCACTTTACTACTGTAGCCTGTATAATATGTATATCACTTTACTACTGTAGGCCTGTATAATATGTATATCACTTTACTACTGTAGGCATGTATATGTATATTACTTTTTTTTTACTGCAAGCCTGTATCATGTGTTTGTGTACATGAAAGAAGAATCCGAGATTTAACTGAGCTATGAATAATTGAAAACGAGCTAATAAAAGATGGGGCTGATCGATAGTAGGCAGATCTACAGTGACCTTCTACAGCCTTGACCTGTTATAGGTCACTAGAGACATTGATAGGTGCTAGCTAGTAACTAGCTGATTGTTAGCTAATGGCTAGTGATAACGGTTAGCAGTTAGCTAATGGTTAGTGGTTAATTAATGGTTAGTGGTTAGTGATTAGGTAATGGTTAGCAGATAGCTAATGCTTAATAGATAGCTATTGGTTAGCAGTTAGCTAATGGTTAGTGGTTAATTAATGGTTATTTGTTAGGTAATGGTTAGTGGTTAATTAATGGTTAGTTGTTAGGTAATGGTTAGTGGTTAGGTAATGGTTAGCAGATAGCTATTGGTTAGCAGAAAGCTAATGGTTTGCAGATAGCTAAATAGTTAGAAAGTAGCTTTCATTTAGAAGTCAGATAATGTTAGCATATTGATGACAGTTATAGTTATGTAACAGTTAACTTCTAGTTAATAGTAATTAACAACGTCTAGCTAATTTCAACTGAACAGTCAGCTTCCCGTCAATAGTTAGCTTCTAGCTGACAGTAATTTAATAGTTAGTTTCTAGCTAACAGCAATTCAACAGCTAGCTTCTCGCTAATAGTAGTTTAATAGTTAGCTTCAAGCTAAAACTAATTCAAAAGCTAGCTTCTAGTTATTATATTGCCTCTACCTCCTAACTACCAAAAATTCAGCTGGAAAAATCTCCACATAAATTTTATTCAAGAAGTTGTAACAAGTACGAATTCACAAATTCCCTTTGTACTTCTTTGCCAATGACATTAAATCATACCCCCACACTCGAATCTTCAACACGTCCAAAGAAAATCGAAACTTCAAAGAAAATCAATTTCAAAACAAAATATTCCAAAAGCCTTTGAAAATCTCTCATATCAATCTGTTCCGACGCTAACCGAAGGCATTTTCCAAGCGACACACCACCCCCCCCCCCCTCCATACATGAATCTCTGGCTTCGATATTTGATTACACCGCCTCTCCGCTTTCTATAAATATAAAAAAAAACACGTCTAATTCTAGTTTCGCACATTTTTTTTCCTCCACACGTTACTCATCGGACAAGTTTAACTACGGCACATTTCTCAACCACTCCACGAATGGAGGCTAAAAGCCTGCTAAGCAACAAAGTGGCCAGCACACTTAGCGTAGTAACAAAGTAACAAAGTGGCTAAACACACTTCTAGCACACAGCCTGGAGCGTCACTAACGTGGTTAAGTTTCATCTGTCGGTCATCCCGAAATGATTACTTAAAACTCTCGCTCTCCTTGTACGTCCGCCTGATTGCTGCACACTTTTAGCGGGCGGTATCTGGGTAGGTTGGAGAATTCTACAGCCCCGAGTTCGATGCGATGCGTCCACTCTAGTTCGGATGAAGAAGGGAGGGTGGGGGGTGGGGGGACTAGGCCGCTCTCAATGAACGTGTGGCGCACTCACAGCGAACCCCGCACCGACTGTCCACACACGGTGTTTGTTTTTTTTTTGGACGGCTCTCAGTTTTCACAGGAAAATGGCGAGAGTTTTTAAATGTTTAATACCAGATCTGAAAGCTGATGTTATTTATTTTTAAAAATTCGGTTTTCATAAGAAGAAAAACAAAATTATAACTTGTTATAATTTTGTTTTCACTCTCACGACTAATGCCGGAGTGTTCAACAAAAAAGGGTTTCGTCTGTTGAAGTATCGTAGTTGATAGAGCCATTGTTTCTACATGTACAGGATAGCATAGAGGGAGCTGCTTGCTATTGATTGGTGGTCAGGTCTCTAAGATTTAAGGGCACCCAGTAGCAACGACTTGCTTCCTCGTTCGTTTTTCTTTGGTTTACAAAAATAAGATGACAATACGGTGTAGGTCTATGTGCCGGCTGACCGTGTATGTGCCGGCTGACCGTATATGTGCCGGCTGACCGTGTAGGTCTATGTGCCGGCTGTCCGTATATCTGCCGGCTGACCACGTAGGTCTATGTGCCGACTGACCATATATGTGCCGACTGACCATATATGTGCCGGCTGACCTTATATGTGCAGGCTGATCATGTAGGTCTATGTGCCGGCTGACCGTGTAGGTTTATGTGCCGGCTGACCGTATATGTGCCGGCTGACCGCTTATGTGCCGGCTGACCGTATACGTGCCGGCTGACCATGTCGGTCTATGTGCTGGCTGACCGTGTATGTGCCGACTGACCATATATGTGCCGACTGACCGTGTAGGTCTATGTGCCGACTGACCATATATGTGCCGACTGACCGTGTAGGTCTATGTGCCGGCTGACCGTGTAGGTCTATTTGCCGGCTGACCATGTAGGTTTATATGCCGACTGACCGTGTAGGTTTTTGTGCCGACTGACCGTGTATGTCTATGTGCTGCTGACCGTGTATGTGCCGGCTGACCGTATATGTGCCGGCTGACCATGTAGGTCTATGTGCCGGCTGACCGTATATGTACCGACTGACCGTGTAGGTCTATGTGCCGGCTGACCGTGTAGGTCTATGTGCCGGCTGACCGTATATGTGCCGGCTGACCATGTAGGTCTATGTGCCGGCTGACCGTATATGTACCGACTGACCGTGTAGGTCTATGTGCCGGCTGACCGTGTAGGTCTATGTGCCGGCTGACCGTATATGTGCCTGCTGACCATGTAGGTCTATGTGCCGACTGACCATGTAGGTCTATGTGCCGACTGACCATGTAGGTCTATGTGCCGACTGACCATGTAGGTCTATGTGCCGGCTGACCGTATATGTACCGACTGACCGTGTAGGTCTATGTGCCGGCTGACCGTGTAGGTCTATGTGCCGGCTGACCGTATATGTGCCTGCTGACCATGTAGGTCTATGTGCCGGCTGACCGTGTAGGTCTATGTGCCGGCTGACCGTATATGTGCCTGCTGACCATGTAGGTCTATGTGCCGACTGACCATGTAGGTCTATGTGCCGACTGACCATGTATGTCTATTTGCCGCCCATGGTTGTGTGTCATCCTATCACGAACGTTCCGGTTGACCCCACCCCTACGATAAATGACCTGTCACATTCAGCCCAACTGTGTCATCTATTTTCATCGAACGTTGTACATGACGTTGATCAGTTAGATGTGTGGGGTTTACGTACACCATCGATGGAGAAGAACATAACTATTTTCAGTATACTTGGAATAAAAGCAATGTTTTAAAACCTTAACTATAAGCTTGTAAATGCACTGAAAACAAGGAAATAAAATACACTTTAACTCAAGAAGAGGAGACGGCAGAAGTAATTGGCGGGGATCGGATGAAATGGAAGGAAACGGTGGAGGCTCTATGTTTAATACAGAGCAAAGAGTAGCCTACTTAGTTGAAGTTAACTCAAGATATAAGTTATACAGATAGACTTACATAGTGATCATACAAGTAAAAACATTAAAATTTGGAAAAAAATGTATTCTAATGAAAGTCTTCTAAAGCTTAATCAGCAAATGTTGATGTTTAAAAAAAAAATAACCTGATTGATTATCTTGTAGCTTTATAATTATTTCCTAACCGTTGTCTCCCTTATTAAAGTTATCTCCCTGTACACCACTCTCTAGCATTATCCTGTGTTAACTTTATTTCCCCCCGCCTTCATCTAAATGGTTTTGTCATCCATCTATTATCCTTACGTTTTTGTACCCGCTTTTTTTTTTGTATGTCTCGCTCAGAGTGATCTAAAAATAGAACACTATAGCCAACACAGCCCCAGCCATTTTGACGGCGTGTGTGATCCATCGCTCGCGTTTTCAAGTGAGCTCCGACCGCCTACTCTTTGCGAGACAATCACGGCGGATAATAGAGCTATTGTAGTGCAATGAACAGGTGCAAATTTCTCTCATGTTTAAAGGGCATCAGACTGCAGCCGATGAATGTAGAAGATGTTAAACTGCCGTTGTTTAAGGTTAGAGCTGTTAAACGGCAGCGTTAAACGCCAGAGCTGTTAGACTTTTTAAGTGCTGCATCTTCTCAGTACGTGCGAGCTAGGTAATTAAAACCATACATACTATGAAGTCTATAGCCTGCCACTCGAAAAATGTATGTAGTTGGCCAATAAAAAAATGGACTTTCTAGTTGGCCATGACAAAATGACCTCTTCAGTTGGCCATTTAATAAAGTAAAAAAAAATGACCTCTTTAGTTCACGAAAGGAAAAACTCAAATGACCGTCCTCGCGCAATTAACGGCGATAGAAGCCATTAGCCTTGCTCAATCTGGTATTGCCTCATAAGGCCTAGAGGAAAGTATACAAGAAAATCTAATAAGTCTGGAAGCGTTGGGTCCTGGTAATGGCATCAGCCCCTCTGACTTGTGGTAACGTGGCTGACCACAGTGCTAAAAGGTGTCTAGCTTTTTGTGACAATGGACCTAAACGCTAAAAGGTGTCTAGCTTTTTGTGACAATGGACCTAAACGCTAAAAGGTGGCTAGCTTTTTATGACAATGGACCTTAGGACTGAAAGATGTCTTGCTTGTGACAATGGATCTAAACGCTAAAAGTTGTCTTGCCTGTGACAATGGATCTAAACGCTAAATGTGTCTAGCTTTTTGTGACAATGGACATAATGTCTAAAAGATGTCTTGCCTGTGACAATGGATCTAAACGCTAAAAGTTGTCTAGCTTTTTGTGACAATGGACCTTAAGACTAAAAGTTGTCTAGCTTTTTGTGACAATTGATCTAAACGCTAAAAAATGTCTTGCTTGTGACAATAGGCATTAGGACTAAAAAGTCTTGCTTGTGACAATGGATCTCAACGCTAAAAGTTGTCTAGCTTTTTGTAACAATGGACCTAAAAGTTGTCTAGCTTTTTGTGACAATGGACCTTAAGACTAAAAGTTGTCTAGCTTTTTGTGACAATGGACCTAAACGCTAAAAGTTGTCTAGCTTTTTGTAACAATGGACCTAAAAGTTGTCTAGCTTTTTGTGACAATGGACCTTAAGACTAAAAGTTGTCTAGCTTTTTGTGACAATGGATCTAAACGCTAAAAGATGTCTAGCTTTTTTGTGACAATGGACCTAGGGGCACATGAAGACATGTAATACATAAAAACAGATTGTAAATTGATTGACTTATTAAATTGACAGATTTTTTTTTTAAATTATAGACAGATTAGCTTAACTTAAACAGATAACTATGACAGACAGACTAGCCTAAACAGAAAACTGAGAAAGATTAGCTAAAGTAGAAAACTACGGGTTTCCCGAAGCTTTCAATTACGTATTGATTTTTGTCTACTCTGTAAACAAAAAAAAAAAAAGGTGGGAGGAGAAAGATCAGGGGGGAGTTCTATTTTTAGACACTGGTTCAGTGCGAGGAGTTTGACCCAAAGGGAGGTTACTCTCAAATTTACCAAACTCGGCCGAGAACTCTTCAGTTTGAAAAATCTAATAATGCTAGGGTTTGTTAACAGAGAAAAGTTTATGACATCTACTTGACTTGACCAGCGAACACTGAACGCACAAGAGCATTATGCATAAATTCTACTCACTACATGAAAAACAACGCGAACATATCCCTTGCCAATTTCAAACAACAAACATTTGCAATTTCAGGTCACAGTCCTGCGACATTCATGGTAATGCCCGGGGCCCAGTCTTAACACTTAGCAATGGGCCTGCACATTATAATAATAAATTGAAGTTTTTTTAAAAATTGCATATTTTTATTCACATTTATTATGATCGCGAATGTGGGGGGGGGGGGGGGGGGGGGAAGTGTAAACATCCTTCTATAACCATAACTACAGTTGTTTTCAAATTATCTTCAAGTCAACGATGATAAAACAATTAGTGTCATCTTAACTTTGCTGCCCATTTTTTTAAAATTAAACATTAAACCGTAAGTATAATAACCTAATGG